AGATTGACTACAAGTGCTACCAAGTGCAGCGGGGCTGCCGTAGCTTTGCGCTTAGAGGCAGCGTAATTTAGTCACCGTCCTTTCATTCTATGCTTAGAACAAGTACGAGTTTAGCGGATCGCAAAGCCGCCTAATTTTAAATGTTTAGATATTCCTAAATATATATAGTAAAATCTAATTACATGTATAACTACTTGCTATCCAGCCCCGTACCGTATTCTTGTTTGGGTGTGGTCTCACCATGACCATCTGGTGTGACACACACCCCTGTTACCAGGGTATGTGTAACCCCGTTACATAGGACCTTTGCAAGCAGGATGAAGTACACTGTTGTTTCTGTCTTAAGATTATACACAATAGATCATAAGAGACAACACCATTTCTGCGTGCGCTGTTGCTGCTGCAGCTGCAACCCTCGGCTTCATGTGGGCTCACCCTAGATTACTATTTTGTCCCTTTTAACTCCGTAAAAGTTACACTGCCCTTTTGTAGTAGTTCTTACGTAGTATTTTGGGTTCTTACATTCTGGTATTTTCAATATTTAAAAGTTTATCTATCTTATAAATATACTTAAATGTACTGGGTTTACTCACTTTTTGTATGGCCGAAATATGAACTCACTTTTTGTATGTCCGAGATATGAACTGACTCGAGAGCACAAGTTTCAATCGTTCTTTCTCCTATTTTCTAAAGAGCGTAACGATGGCAGAGCAGCAGGTGGCACTCAAGGTAGCCTTCAACGGAGACATCCACCGCACGCGCGTAGACCTGCGAAAATTTTCGTTTAAAGCACTGAACCAGCTAATGATGCAGACCTTCCGTTTGCCTGCGGGTGAATTTATCGTGCAGTACCGTGATCCTGAGGGCGACTGCGTCAATGTAACAACTGACGCTGATTTTAATGAAGCCTTGCGAGTCCTTTCAGTATCTGTGGGGCCTTTGCAGTCGCTCAAGTTTTCGGCTATCACACGCCACCAAGTGGAGCTTAGTGACCAAGTAACAGAGCCTCTTATTAAATCCATAGAGCACATCATGCAGTCTCTTGCCGTAGCACTTGAAAGACTTAAGCGCGACGCCAACTTTACCCCGAGCGTCGCCCCCAAAACGAATGTGACTCCAGACCAGCTGCCTAAAGACAATGCCGGCTCGCCGAAGTCAGCCGTTGGTGGCTTCTCAAGCTTTGCTCAGGGCCTTGTGGGTCAAATTAACCGGCTCATACCGGAGATTAAGGCTGGAGAGGCTGCGGCGGCGCCCATCGCTTCGGTGGAATCTTCAACCGAATTGGAGCACAAAGCAGTAGTGCTGCAGCCGACAGAGATTACCCCGTCGCCGGTTCCAATGGTTGAGGCATCGACGGCTCAAGAGATGGAGGATATGCCGTCTGTTGCGTCATCTGTTGCGTTTTCTGAAGCCGAGGTCAAGTGGGCTGAGCAGCTCTCTATTGTCAGCGGCATTTTCCCGAACGCCAAACCTGCGCATATTATTGACATTTTGGAAAAGAGTGACGGCAATCTTAACGTTGTGCTTAACGTTTTAACAGAGGAGAACTAAGCAGTTTGCAAGAAAGTGATAAAAGCATTCAATTGTGTAGCTGGCATTTGCATAGTGGTTTTCTATGGATATTTTGAAAACAGTAAGATAACAGGATAATAGAAAAATCGGGAGGAAGGGCTTACATTCTATCGAATTCAGTTGGAACTACTGCTTGTACTCAAGAACTATTTTAACTACAAAATCTTCATTATTAATCTTGATAATTTCACATATCATCCGCATCTTAACCAGACAAGCAACAGTAGCAATCACTATCCAGCCGAAGCGCTTCTATAGCTTAAGAAGCCAATAAAGTAAAGGAAGAAGGTTGCAACGCATCCGCTTCATGTCACTAGCAATCGCGATCACAACAAGCATTATCTTAGCAGCTACTGGAAGTACCATGCAGCCTATCATCTGATAACAACAGGGAGCGCTGAGACGAGGCAATTTTTTTTCAAAGAGGCCGGTAACGAGCAATTCTGGTATCAACATAATGAGGTTACCGTTCTCTCACGATCGAGTCGTAAAATTGACTACAAGTTTTAACGAGTGCAACATAATCAACATGCACCTTGAAGAAGAATCTTCGAGTCAACAAGTCTGTAAAGAAACGCACCGTACACTCCGATGCCGAGAGCGTGCTATGAACCTAATTTGCTATTCTACTTTAATTTTATGAAAGCAATACTAGCTATACGTTCCACTATATCCAGAAAAATGAAATTTTATATATTGCTGCCGTGGGGCTAATAGTCTACGTATATCACGGACGACTTCTTTGCTTAGTCATTTGTACAGGAAAGTTTGAATTTATGAATACTCTACAAAAAGTGCAATGTGAATTTCGTGCAATTGTATAAAAGTGTAATTTGTACAAGAGAGTAGTAATTTATGTCACCAGTGTCATAAGCCTCTAAATAGGTAAATGCTTATCTCTTACCTCGAAAGCACTCAAGCCAAAAGCTAGAGACGTTAACTAGCTCAATCCTCGTATAGCTATCACCCAAAGCTGTCTTTTGTCTAACGTCTGATAAATGGAGCTGTTTCTATCTACAAAATGGCCCCTTCATGTCCATCTTGTTTGCACAGATGCCATACTGCAATAAAAATCAAACAGATGGTATATGTTCTTAAAGCTTTGACGACATTTTTATGAATTTTGGACTCAACCTCTGTACACTATTCACAATACACAATATACAGTGAATTAGTGAGAGACAGATGACTTATCAAGAAAATCAAGAATGTATTATCACTGAAGAATACACGATGTCTTCTGCTCACTATACTATACTTCTGGGAAAACCAGCTCGAAGTCGCTGGTGATCATTCCAAACTTTCGTCTCTCATTTTTGCGGTGATGGCGGACCCCTTCTCGAACCGCCTCCCGCGTGACCTGGGTCTCTTTGATTTTTTTCGCAGCCGTACAATGTCCATAGGAAATCGTACTTCGCATCCTGCCTCTTCAACGTCCTCGAGGGCATCTACATGGAATTCCAAGACCACAAGGCACTCGCTCGCATCGTCCGCGTCGATGCCACCACCTGCGCCTATTCCTGCGCCTTCCTCTAGTGATGCTGATGCTGCTTTCGCAAGAGAACCATTACAATATTCAGAGACGACGGTAGCTGAAACAATAAATTCGTCGTTCGAGCCGCCCCACAACAACGATCACCTTAGTGACGACGATGATGACAGCGACTCTGACGACGACATTAGTATGGCCGTTGATGCTGAAAGCACCGTGGGCAGTGCCATTAACAAATACGAAGTTGTGCGTGAGCTGGGTCGAGGGGCTACAGCCACTGTGCAGCTTGGCCGCTTGCGCGGTGGAGACGAGCTTGTGGCGCTTAAGGTTTTTAAGACTTCGCTGCTTAGAAAAATGCGCGAGGTGAAGCGCGTTGGGCGACGCATGGTCGTGTCAACGGCACTGGATAAAGTGCAGGTGGAAATTGCGATAATGAAAAAATTGCATCACCCAAATTTGCTGAATCTGCTGGAAGTGTTTGACGATGACTCGGATACGCTCGTGCTGATGCTCGAGTACGCGCCCTCGGGTCAAGTGATGCAATGGTTCCCGGAAGAAAGGGTTTATAAAAGACTAGGGGCTAACAAGAAGTCTGATTGCTTTTCCGAAGAAGATCTGCGTATATGTGTCCGGCAACTCCTACTCGGAATCCAATACCTGCACGAAAACCATATCTGTCACCGCGACTTGAAGCCTGAAAACATTCTCGTGAGTCATGATGGCAAACTCAAGATTGCTGATTTTGGTGTTGCGCATTTTTTCGAAGACAACGACAAAGAAATGACGGCTAAGGCTGCAAACAAAGCATCCGATTTTCCAGCGGAATTAAACAGAAAGGGCTACGTCTCATCAACTGCCGGGACATATGCTTTTATGGGCCCAGAAACACTTAAGGGTGCTCCGTACAGTGCATATGCTGCGGACATTTGGGCACTGGGTATCAGCATTCATGCGCTGGCTTTCGGCACAATACCATTTTACGATCCAGATGTTGTGACCCTTTTTGAGATGATTGAAAAGAATCCGATAGATCTTGAGTGCAATGGAAACGGTTCGCAAGGTCTGGTTGAGCTGCTGTACGGTCTGCTGGAAAAGGACCCCATAAAGCGCTGGTCATTGCAAATGTGCAAGGAGCATCCGTGGGTACTAGATGGGCTTTTAGCTGAGGAGAAGCAGAAGTATGTGGAAACAAGATACGACGCTGTGGAAATTAATCAGGAAGACTTAGCATGTGCGGTGACTCGTGTGACTTCTTTAAATGTCATTCTGCGAGTAAAGCTCGGCGCCAACAAGTGGAAGCGCAAAGCGATGCGGACGCTTGAAGATCGGCGAAAATGTATACAGGACGGTAGTTTCTGCCTTGAGAAATCCTCATCTTTGACAGTGATCGATACGATAAAGTCTGAGTTAAATAAGCCTGATGCCTCTCCAAACCTCGAAGATAACCAGCTTGAGATTTAGCAAATTGAAAAAAACGGGATGAATGCCTCAGTTTTAGTCTTTGAACTGGAAGCGGAATCACGGTGCATTTTTTGTAGATCGCCACACCAAGCATCTGGATGCCAATTTTACTCAGTCATGCCATCGAGTCGATTTTTTTGATTTAGAAGATCAATACCAAAGCGAGAATTAAATTTTTCGCAAACAGTTTCGTTCTGAATACATCCTCAGACATCTGGCTGTCCAGATAGTGAGAAGACCCACTACCTCTGCAGAATCTCCCTCCAAATTACAAGGTCTAGACCTTTCTCTTCAAAAGCTCACACGATAGAGGCATCATGGAAAGAACAGTACATCGTTCAGCAAAAGTTCCCTGAGCAGCAAATATGACTTCATCCCGGCAACATAATGCTCGACTCCGTAGTAATAGGATGAGTGGTATTGTACTTCGGACTTAGTGCGAAGCGTGATACTAGCGTACGATACTTAAGTGATAGACGAATATTGCAACTAAAATAAATAGTGCATAATTGTCATCACTAAATTATGGTAAATTTATTATTAATCCATGTCTCCTACAAGCTTATTTTATTGTTGATGTACCGTCTGTCGAGATAAAATATAAAATGCCTACCAACCACCCCTTTCTTTATATATTTGGTCCCGAGGATCCCATGGCCAAAGGCGCAGATGCGGGGTGCGTGCTGAAGTATTGTGTGCGCCGCATTGAACTACTCGAAAAAACCAAAGGACTGGTTCCGATGAGGTAAAGGAGAGGTCCGTGGAGAAAGTGAACTCTTAGCTTATTTTACTGTACAGAAAAACACCTATATTGAGCAGAGGCTCGATTCCAAAATATATGTCACTTTTAAAATTGAAATATAAGAGCAAACTAAATACGTAGTTTTTCGGAGACTCACGGTTCCGCTCCTGGTAGAGCGTACATAATCACTCTTTGTGTGTTAGCTTAGGTGGACATCAAAGCTTTTGCTATTTAAGATATCCGGCAAGTTTAATTTTACTTGGTAGCACTAAAACTCAATCTCATGTCCAAGTCGAGAAGGATTTTTTTACTACAAGTCTGTTGGACAAACTAATCATGCTTTAATAGAATATGTCTTTGCTTTGTCGCGAAGCGATACCAAGATTAGAAAGGCCAAGGGCCGAAAGTGGTGACAGAAGGCCCTTAAGCAATGCAGGAGCTACTTTTCGATTGCATCAAAGAAGGCATCGAAGCTCGTTCTCCAAAAGTACATTCACGATCAGGCTTCTACAAGACGACAAGGTATTTTTATGTGTTGTGAAGCCTCGACAGCATCTCCTTAGTTGCCGGCGGCCCAGTGCCAATGGACCTTAGTGTGCCCAAGCAAAGCCAATCGTTACTTCGGCTTCGCCAAGCTAGAATTCTGGAGGATTATCAGCCGAGGTTGCTGACGTGACACCTCGGCGAAGGCCTCAATCAATCGACGGGGGTACACACTTGAATCTCACTGTGTGGCTGCTGACGATTAGCGTCCAGCTTTTCAAATGGGTAGGGACGAAAAGAAAACATTCTCTGGAGGTTGAAACGGAGACAGATCACCCAAAACCCTAAATCATTAACCGACGCAAAAAACTATGACTTAGACTCCTCAATGCAACCCGTGTCGCTGATGCAACAGATGTCCTGCACGGCTTTTTTCGCACGCAGCTTTCTTTTGGAAGTAGCTAGCACGATGGATCATGGCAGAATTATCAACAGAAGTATCATGTGGCGGTCAGAATTCTTGTTCTCCCGTCAAGATAAGCAATACCGTGGCGACAAATCATCTCCCGAAGGCGGTTATAGTTACCATCTTCATGATTGATCGTCGAAAAGGTGTCGCCCTTACCCAGACCTTTCGCATTTATTCATCCTTTTTCGATGATGCGTGGGTGTCGCTTTATATCTGGAGTATATTTTCCATGCCGCGAAAGCCATTGGAGGGTAATAGCGGCTATCTGTCGGAGTCTTCATTGCCGGGTCAGGTGATGCCGGGTGGCTATACGTAATAAGTAGAAGGTTTAGGCTCCGATAGTAACAAAAACGATTGTTAGTGGTACTGCTAAATTTGTACTACGTGTGACGCACCACCGTGCAGAGCTTTAAACTCCAAAAAATTCTGGTAATAGAGCGCACCCAAAAGAAGCTCTGGAGAGTTTCTCATTGGTAATATGCGCGTTTAATTTCAGACGGCGAAGTTTTCGAATTATCACGGTCGATACCGGGGAGTGTAATGAACTACGCTTAGCCATTATATAAAGGTACATCAATTTACCGTCTGTGTGCGTTGCGGGAATCCATGGAAGAAAATTACAGTACGGTGTGCCCAAATGCATACGTGATATCTTATATGTAGTCACAAACATTCTGTGTTATACCGAATTCTGGCTCCTACTCCGGGATCTGTACTGGTGACGATACCAACGTGTATCCGTCTTTCGAAATGGGTGGTGTAAGCCTGTCCTTCCATCTGGATACTTTTCACGAGGTTAAAGTAAAAGTTATAGTTTTCGAACTTCAAGCTCCGTCTACCTCAGATCGCGTATGAATTGAAGCTAAGGTTTAACATCAGAACACCGTTATTTCGTTGTTTTCATAAATCAGATACCAAGATGTTATGAGTAAAACCTCTATGTGCCATTGGGGTCTTGCATGTAGCTAGGAGCCATAAATATTTATAATTAAGTTGAAAATTTACCTTAAGGGATTAAGTCGCTCTTCTTAGTCAAGACTGTCCTTCCCCTTTCACGTCAGGGATCGCTTTCTCGTCACACAAGCGTGTGAGTTGTGCTTGAAGGACTATTTGTGAACAGCACCCTCTTACAGCGAGGAGCTGGGCTTAAATGAGTATTATTTTGGGTGGGGCTGAGAGTCAAGATGTGCAAAAGCAACATGTGAATGCTCGAGGAAGTCAAAACGTATATTAATTAGGGTGATGGAACACACTTGAGCACTGTAGTAGGAGACAAGTTGTTCTAAAATTTTGACCAACCTACACGCACAGTGTCTAAACTCTATCAAACTATATTGAGATCACGCTACATCAAAATATCTATGATCATAGGATTAGGTTACAACATTTTATTTATTCGGAAAAAAATTCAGGCAAAACATGTGCTCTATGTGGGCTTGCTGAAGCGAATTTTTGATCCCATTTATGCGGATGCGAAGCGCTCTTATGTAGACGGAGCAGCGTTTCTACTTTAATCTGCAGTTGAGATTACCGTTTAAAGCTATAATGCAGTATTTTTTGTTCGACGGTGCCTCGAAACTGATGTGGCTTCAAGAGTGGATCTAAAAACTGACTGCACGTCAACACTTAAAGAAAAAATTGACGTGTAGTCATAAGCAAGCGAGCTCGCGAGAGCCAGCCGTTGGAAGTTCGTCCACTAGGGGCGGTGGGTATCCCACTACGACATGAACGTATGGTAGTCGGAGGTTTTACCCAAACTGTCCTAGTGTCTGGTTAAGCGAAGGGAATATCTTCACTCAGAGGCCTTATGGGGCGGGTTTAAGGACCTGATTCGGCAAGATTGCCATGGCGCAAGTACCAATTATGACCTGGCGCATCCGCAGTCTATATATCGCTGACCAACTAGCGAGTCGAACCTGATCTTGTCAAGAATGAGCCTTAATCGGTGCCTGTAATTGCTGTCACGTGGATATGAGCGGGCTGTTAGTATCAAGGGCTTAAAGATACAGGTTACCACCCCGAATCCAAATCATCCCTTAAAGTCTAGCATAAATGACGCTCTAGTTAGCCGCCTGTCCGAAAACGCCGGTTTGTGAAGCAGTCACAAGTATGAGATAAAGTGTCTTCCAAACCCAGTGCTAAAATTATTGCAAAACTTTTCGGCACGTTGATCAGTATTCATTACTCCATGTAAAGTGGAACAGATTACTCGATTATTGCCACTCCGAGTAGGCGGTGCTCTCGCGGATGTTTGATTTGAGGGCTCAGTAGAACAACTTTAGAGCACTCAAGACATTCTTTGTTAAAGCAGAAATATCCGCGCGTAAGGTCTCCGACACGGCGCGGAACTAATCAAACTCACAATACATCGTGGTCGAGTCTGCAAGGGTTCTTTCGAAAAGCGCTGGAAGATGGTTAGGCTGGGCTCTCGGAGTCAGAAGAAAGCCCTTCATCATCCAAACATTTGCGTTGAAATGTCGCAACGTGTTTCTTCATAGGTAAAATGCACTGAGTGCGTAACGTGCTGTGGGAGGCGGTGCGTAGAGATTGTCTTTTCTTAGTCGAAAGTTTATTACTTTTTCTGAGTGGGCGGCTTAGCCTTGTATCCATCGCTGGGGTCAAAGGTGCTAAATGGGGGCTTGAAGAATATTTCCAATCGTTCTCATTAGTAAAAGCGGCAGCTTTCTCACCAAGAATGGTCGTGGGGGCTTTGGCGGTGAGGATCGCACCAATCACAGAGGCCCATCTAGCCATTTAAGAGTAAGCAAGGGTTAAGCTCCCATGCGAGTATGCTCGTAGGAGCAGGTACAGTAGAGAAGTGACTAACCAAGCGCAGTGGATCCTCATTGATTATTTACCTTTGCGAAATGAGATTATTAGGGTGGTCCACTCCTTGGTATGAGAACTGTAACGTGTACGTAGTATACGTATTCAAAAGTGCAAAGCACTGATGCTGATAAGAAGGATAAACTCCATAAAACAGGGGATCCTTGTTGTTGTTAGTCTCACATCATGCAGCGCACATAAATATATTATTAGTCATAGTACAATCTTTATTTTTACGATTGAATTGATTCCGACGAATATTACTGTATATGTCACACTAAGATAAAAAAGCAAGCTGATTTTGTAGTTTTTATGGAGGCACTTGGTTCTGCGCATGGTGGAAGCTACTAGGTTTGTGCTACTGTCACCCACACTAAATTTCGCTAAAATAATGTAGTAGTTTCTGCAAACGCTCGGAAAAAGGGTGGCCATTAGAACATCTTTGGTTACATCACGTCCCAGGCGCAATCCAATATACAATCCTGTGTAAGAGTCGAATTTTAATAATAACACGATTCCAGCGCTAGACAACAGACGCTACTTCCGCAAAAAGTCTGCTCAGCTCGGAGTTCGCAAAATATGACCGTCAGCGCCTACGAAGAGTGCTGATACCTAAGAATTTAAGCTTTTGTAGTGCAGTAAAGCGCTACCGAGTCAATATTTACTTTTCTAGTGCAGCTATAAAGTACACAATTCTTTCGACGGGTCGATTGGTTTTTTGTAACGCTACAACCTTTAGGATATCTCTCTAGTGCCGGTCATACGACTCCCATTGGTTCTGTTACGAGGAGTTTTGTCTTTCCGTCCTGAGCAAATAGAGCTTTTCATGGAAACGTTTGCGTGGATCACATGTTCCATGTTGTAGTGGCGACCATCACTGTGATCTCGAAAAGACAGTGGTGGCTTTTCCTGCGCTCTTGCGATCGTCACACTTCTGAAGTCCTAATTGGCCTGATCCAGGCGGACTTCTGCCTCCTCCAAGACTAAGCATATTCCCTCGGAAATCTTTCGAGATCGATTCTGGCGAGCAGGATGCCGGATCCATGGATAGCTCGAGCCCCTTGTGCGCAATGTGGTGATTCTCACTAAGTCAGAATTAAGATCCTCTTGCTCGCATCTATCAGCGTGCTCTGGCGTTCAATCTGCACGAATTAGTCAGCGATTTCTCGATCTCTGTGATGTAGTATGATCTTGTTATTCGTAACGAGAATCGCATCCGTATGCGCGTTCAAATCCTCGAGCATACACAGGTTATGAGAGACCGCGATTTCTGAGCCGCGGACAATGCGGGTATAACCTTTGAATTGCAAAATTACCCTTTGCTTTACCCAGGGCAATACTCCACAGCTCCACAGCCTATCCGCTCTGAGAGAATGCAGAACATCCGTTCTGGCAGCCAAACCGTGAAGCTTCTCAAAAGGTACTTAGTAGTAAATCCTTCACAAAAAGACATTATATTATGCGTCGACTTTATCTTATTGCTTATCCTCACCCATTGCATCGCGGACCCGACTGATCACATTCAGTTGGCTGCCAATAAGCGTTTACAGCTTTTTGGCATAATGATTGGTCCTAAATATGAGTTTCGGTGGTAAAACGCTACGCATCTTCTTTCACTTACCATCGAAACCTCCGTGCTTTATAGAAGTGTTGCCGACACTATTCAGTGTCTCAACTCGTAGTTATCAAAGTAAATTGTGTAAAAGAGTGACATTGTTGAGTGCAAATCAGCCATCGGAAACTAGCGCAACCATTGCACACTGTGCATTCGACCACACAATTTGCCCTAGTTGTCTGATAATCCACGTGTAAATGATTGTCTTTGAGCATCAACAGTCTACCTGAAACAAAAAAGAATTTAGTTACTCATAATGCAAAAGTAAATCACCCTTCTCATGCGACGCGGCGTGCGTTTGAAGCTGAGGTAAGCCACTTCACGAAATCAATCTTTACTCTGTGTTATCGCATTGCTAGGCCTGGTGCATCACAGCTCTTCAGAACCGCGTTGCTACTTTAGAGCAAAGAGGTCATTGAATGACAGAGACGTTAATTTTTTATCTGCACTCTTCACGTCCAACTAGTTCGTGAGAGCAGGATTGTTGTATGGCTTCAGTAAACACGCAGTATGTTTGCAATCTTTTTGGGATATTAGTAGCTTAACTTAATCCTACCTCGCTCCAATCGCGAACGGTCTGACGTAATGCAGCCGTTACACATACAGGAAACCGCGAATACTGCATTGCATGAGTAGGCATAATATCTGGATTCAGTAAAACCCTTGGCTTCCACCTGACATCGGCTAGTTACCTTGGTTTAACATGAATCTCAGTCAGTGTCGAGAATTTGGTCTTTTTGCTCAATCTCATTGAAATAGAATCACTGATTTTGCTTCGAAGTGTAGCCGGGTGAGAATTACACGTCAATTTCAATCGAAAGCCCGTCCTCTACAATGACCGGAATCACTCATGGCGGTGTCAAAGACACTCGAAAATTTACCAAATGTTTTACGTACGATCAGGCAAAGCCTGTAAAGTCATGTACTTCTTCATTCAACGCAAACGAAACAAACGGGGTGACTCACTTCAGACTGCGATCGCTACGCACAAGCTCTTTAAAGAACGTCTTCTGCAATGCAATATACGGAATTTGTCTGACCAAATGTCTGTGGATGATAAGCGTCCGGCACATTCAATCTGGTGCTGAGCACCTCAAATGATGCTTCTCAAAGTTTCTCTATCCGATATAACGGCTATCGGCAAGCAATGATGGTGAAAAGCTATGTCGGGACACGGCTGGCTATATTCTCACCGGACATTATATCACCGACAGCAAACAAATGAGTCATTTTGCTCGGAAAGTCTACAATAGCCACAATACCGATAATACCGGGCGTATCTTTTGGAAGACCGAGTACAAGTTTATCACCAATGGATTGCCAATACTCTGCCGGTACCGATAGGCTGGCCAAAGTAGCCGCAGTATGCGGCGATTGTTTAGCCCGTTGGCACGTTTCACGCGAGCGTCCATATGTCCTTACCCAATTACATATATTGGGCTTCCTATACATAGTACTCGCCAGGCAGTTTGTAACATCTCTTCTAATGTAACCAAACCGTGTGGCTCGTCAGTTTTTTGTACTGGGGTCTCATCATGAGGCATCACCACATGTAACATGCTTATTGTCATGCGGCTCAGTGCTGTTACACAGCAAGCCTTGTGTTAAGACGTAGCAGTGAAGTCGTGCAACCACACACTTAAATTTGCGACACCTGTTTCCTTGCTTCTTAAAGCTTCAGCAGCGCGTTACATGTTGCGTCTGACGCGTTGGCCGTACGTATTGCCTTGTCAACTTGCGATGTCACCGTCGTGACATGCGATATTCATAGTCGGGACAACGCGAAAGCACACCTACCAGCGCATTTATTATGCAGTACCACAAAGGTAAGCAAACAATACTACTCTGTGTTTAAGTAATGTGGTGACGACGTCGCTGTGCTCGACAACGCATGACCTTTATAGATCACAAACGAATTAGTGCCAAGCACGTACATTGACGAAAATATATTTTATTACAAAAGGCTCCTTGTCACGACTGGGTCATTCCTCTCAGCAGTTATCAGCATCTGGATCTCGAACGCAATTTCGTGTTTATGACCAATAGCAGTTACTTGGATCGAGTGCAGCCGATAACAAAGGCTGTAGCACCTAAAACGGCGTGGAATGGACGAGCCAGAATTGGTGCGCGCTTGTGGCCTTTTCTCGCAGCATTAAAGGTCGCCGTTCTGCCGTGCACTAGCTCTATTTACGTCCCATTAAAAATATTGGTGAGAGGTGGACCGATTGCTCCGCATATGTGCAAGTAGGTGGTCAGACTAAGCCAATTTCTCAAGTCTTGTAAGACGGAGGCATTAGCAAGTCTACCACGGCATTTATATTCGCAAGATCGGACCGAAACTCATGTTTTCAGACGAAAACTTTAAAAGAAATTTTCGATGCGCCATAGACGCAGTTGTAAATATTGCTGCAAAGCTTATGTCAGCGTATATACTCGAGCACAACTCGCAAGTGTTCAATGTGATTTTCAATCGTGATCTGCACGACTATGGAGAAAAATGTTGTCCATTTGGTTTGATTGTAGCCGTGATGTGACCTGAAAAGCTGTGTAACCTGACTATTGAACGTTGCTGGCAAATTAGAACATCTCCGTGGTATAGCAAGCCGCTCTCAGGGCATCCTGCTCAGATTTCTCACCGCACTGAGAGGGATGTCGCTGTCTCTCACAAGCGATTGGTTATAACTATCAAATAAGCAGAGGAAACTATATCGAGTGCAGCCAGCCTAGCTAAACGGCAGCACATTCTTTCTAAAGAAAATCAGCGTTTGCGCCGGAATTTTATCTAATATATGCGTGCACAATTTACAACTCTTTTTGACAAAACACTTCGACGCCAGTGTGGACATTTTTTTTCACCAAACTCGCTTGTCTCTCGCACGGATGAACGTTACACCGTTCCCCTGGTAAGAGGTATAAACGTGTGACCCAAGATTTGGCTATGCAAACCAAGTTAATATTCTCTATCCGAGGAAGACACGCTTAAAGAGTTTTTCGTCACCAAGTTGTGATATTTCTTTAAAAGCGATAAGAAAATCCATATCATGTCTTAAAAGGCTACTCATTGCAGTTTCTGCTCTGGGGGTGTTTTCAGTTCATGATGGATAACAGCTCAGCCCTATTCGAATTCTTTGTAATATCACGGTTTTGCAACCATCTGCATATATCCCGATGAGATGACTATCCTAGTTTAATAAGCGCTTCTGCCGAAGGTAGCGAGGGATAGCTCTTACCCCTAGGACAACCCCGGTCACTACTATTATATGCTAATAGCCACTTTTCCGTTAAGCATCATTGCTCCGCACGGTGGACCCATCACACGGTTGTGCTGACTCAGCAGCACCATCAAATCGTGAAAAAACGTGCAAGTTTTTATGTTTACGTCTGGACACTCCAACTCGTGGTTTATGGTCGCCCTGCAAACCCATTGATTTTGGCTGCGAAACCCAGTCGTTTCACTTTTCACTGGCCTTAGCACAGGCGGCAACAGATAGCATCTATTTTCTAACGTCAAATCTGAGATACTCTCTGTAAAGCACGTCATAAACTTAGCAGTGATACACTTTGGGGCACGCAATATGCAATCGTGCTTTCCTGTCTCATTTTGAAATCTCGACTCACTGCTGCTATAACCTTTTGAGCTCTGCTCAATGCCTTTATTAATACTGTAGATGTCAACTCTGAACGCTTCGATGTCTTTCACGGAAGTCATCTTCGTTCGTACCTACACAAAAGCGCTTCTGTCAGCTGAAAAAGGTGGGATGATGACTAGGGATGTTTGGTACCTAGCGTTTTTGACGTCCACTAGACCCATGACTCGTAGGTCCCAGCCGCCTTGCCATACCTAGGATGGTCGTGTCTTAATCCAGGTCCGGAACGAGATGACGTTTCACGCTGTAAATTCTTCAAACTTCATTTGGAGGTAAAATGCACCATTTTCTACAGATGCCCCGTCACATTTCGCACATGAATACGCAGTACCCTTGAATATACCCAGTCTACCACGGCTCGTTGATAGCAGCAAGGGACTGTAGTCTCGCTTTGAAACAGCCAACAATCTTACGGTTGTTTCCTGCTGATCGCAACCACTACTATATACAGTATAACTCAGCTTTATCAGAGTATACAGACTATTCCCCCGGGAGGTTCGCCGGACGCGTTTGCGTATGATCTTGATCCATCGTACCGCTCAACCAAGATATATGGATGACGCAGTGCGCATATGTTGTAATATACCACAGTTGAAACATCTCAGAGTACTATGGAGCTGCTGGTAGCCAGCAGATCTCACTTTCTCTTTTACGTATATCTGAATTTTATCGCCTCTAGTCCGCTCTATAGCGTCTGTTTTCGATACCCCATCCGGCCAACGCGGCGCAAAAATTGCACTCGCATCCGCTTCCACGTCCACCGCATTCTCAAAATAGGTAGTGTAGACGCGGAAGGCCTCGGTTTGAGCCTCACTTGTTTGGAGACACTCCATGAAGATTGTAGCAGTTATCGCCATCAGTAGAGGGTTAGATGCCATTGCGGCAATAAAAGTTTTAAACTCCTGGACATGATGCGTTAGCTCTCACCCCCTTTGACATATGAGCAGAGAATATGAGCAAACCCAATACGCTTGGTAAGTTGGTGCGAGCACCCACGTATATTTGGCTTCAGATCTTCCTTTGTTGGGAACGCCTCTTCTGCAAAAAAATAACACAAAACCGCCCATTCTCGTGTGTGGGCTAGCAGCCAATGTCCGACAGGCCCATTTTGAGCCAACGCTCTGGTATCTTGAGATCAGGACGATGGTAGAGTCTCCACGGTATCAGGCATAAAATCTTTGAGCTTTGCCTCAAGCCTGAAATACACTTATGTAAACATAAAGCATTCAGTAGTACCGCCAATTCTCACAGGACTCCTGCTGCAATGTAATTAAAGCAGAGCTGTTCTTTACCTGATCAACAAAAACTAAGACCATATCAGGCTGTAAAAATTTAATGATCTTACGTCTCGATCAATAGGGTCTAATTAATGTCTGGTCGGTAATTCACGCGGAAATGATAGGATTCCGGTAGTCTCTCGCACAATACTGATAGACCAACCGACTCTTCCAACCTTGAAGCGATGCGCAAAAGTTAAAACTGCGACAGACAATTGAACGCTATTCGCACCCAGGGTGTTACTAGCGTCTGCCGCTGCTTTTAGCAAGTGTAAGATTTAAGAAATTTATTGCTGAAGCAGTCATCTTATGCTATCGCGCTTGGATTTCGTCAAACTTTTAAATCTTTTTCGGAAATCCGAATCAAGTAGTTGTCAAGCGTTGTTGCCTTTTCATGTGGCAGCTACCATTCGGACCTTCTTATCCACGAAGATGTTCGTGTACATTAAAGTATTTGGAGCTGAAAATATCATGCGTGGTTGCTCATAGATCCATCTCGAATATAATTTCTGTTAATGCCCTTCACCTCTCGTAAATAATTTCAAGCAGCTTTCATAGCCGAACGAAGCAGCTGACTAATGTCGTTGCGCAGTTTGCAAATACAGATTTTAATGTGACTTTGAAAGTCTTGACCAGAGCAAAAAAGGGAACCGTTCTCTCACCAACGTCAACGGCCTTTTCTTCATATCGTTGTCACTACTTTATCTACAAATTTGGATCCAAACTCATTGTTGACCAGATAGTCAGCCATCAAAGCAATGTTTTGAGTAAAACGGGAGAGGTGGTGCTCATCAAGCACAACGTTGAATTTCGAATGCTCGAAAACCCACGGTCTCTCAAACTTAGTACTAAGAGGTACTAAAAATGCAAGAATTAAATTGTATCGTGTCTTGGTTACATATTCGCAACATGATTTTGTACTAACTTAGCATAGTGTTATGAGGACTTAGGGTAAAACTCGAATGAACCGCTGTGGAGTACCGTGGTAAAGCACCTTAATTGAGTACTCGGTACAAAATTAGATACAAAAAGAGAGTACTGTGGATCAAGTGATCAGGCAATGGATTAACCAGGGTTCTATTTTACTAATTGATTAATCACTCGTATATAATAAACACTCCGTTAGATATATTAATGAGAGTATCACCTACAAATTTGAGCAGTGTCATGTGCTCGGTAATTATAAATTTGATTTTTACGCTCTAAAGTAAGCTGTTGAATAATCCTATGTAAAATCACACAGGCAACCTATCAATCAAAGCCGCATCTTTGTAAGGTGTGCGGGAACCCGCTGCACTTGGTAACTCTTTAACGAATCAACGACTGATGCTAAAAGCGACTGTACCCCTGCATGTTAAATGTCGACCAGGAGCAACGAATCACGCTTGATAAGCCTTAGTGATCACGAAAACATGTGTATTTTTTGTATCAAGGCAAAACAACAGAATATCTAGCTTGGAAGCGTTTATCATCAACGAAAATGGGCTGATCAGGCAGATCCAGAAGTCACAGAATGTCGGGTGAAGCACCAATGCTGTCGCAGAGTTCTCCAAAGCACGACAGCTTCTATACAACAAAAGCTTGGTGCTTTGAAGAGCAATGACAAGCAGAATTCTATCTGCATGAGAGAGATATGGGCATGACCCTGCTCCAAACTTAGGCTAAGCGTGTCGCGCTCGTAAGTCCTATACCAGGAAGTCGTTCGTAATTATGGATATTAACGTGCGGTACCTCAGTAAATGAGGCATTACCGTCACGAAAGTATTTAAGCAACAGATCTTGCGAGTGCTCGTACCCCTTAACAAGGCCTTTTGCGAGCGGACGAAATGCTTAACCGCACGTCAGGGGAAGAGATAGTCAGTGGGCCATGTCTAGATGTAAGAATTACGGTTTCTTGTCATGAAGGATCTCTGGGCAATTGACGTTGCATTAAGAAATTCGTCCTAGCTATCTCGAGGGGAAGGTGATGCTGCATTATATTCAATGCGCAACTGCTGACCACAAGATTCGGTCAGTGTTGCGGGATGGCTTATAGAACTTCAGCCTTTCTTTGCCATACATGATATTGTATCTTAAATACTGATCTGATGGTAAAGAAGCGCTTAATGTTATCAATACTTGCAACGTCATTTTTAATCTTAAACAAACAAATGTTTTTCTGTGCGTGTTTGTCAGTACGCACAGATATAGTATCACACTTGGCATTTTTATGCCATGGATTGATTGGAAATCGAAGATTTCGATGCCACGCATATATCAAATGCTTAAGGCTAAGTGAGTCTTGGAGTTATACGTCTTGAGAGCAAAAGTGGTTTTGGCAAGTTACAAAGCTGCGATATACGGGATACTCTCGATTTGTTACAATTATATTGCTAAAAAGTCTTGAGCAAAGTTCGGATGACAGAGACGGCTATGAGCTACGGTCTCCAAAGTGTAACTATGCTAAACTAAGAATCAGTGGCCGTATGGCGCGGTCTCCAAGATTACTTCCTGAGAAGATAGATGTAATAAGCCGTGAGCTGAGGTTTTCAGAGATTCCTTATAGCGAAACCGGAAAGGACGACTTTATGTCGCGGTTTCCCGGATTTGACCCGTTGAAATGGGTCTGAGCGGCCTAGTTGCGTGTTCTCCAGGGCAAGAGCATGTTGATACAGACGATGTGAGATGAAATCTGCAGGGCCAAGACTTGATTTTCGAAGAATGCGTAATCCTCGTCATATTTAGGCGGTACCGATGATAAAGTAACACCGAGTGACTGGAATCTCTGCCTGACGGTGTCAAAAGACACGGAGGGTTATCGAGTCATTTTTGATGGGACGACGTCTGTTGGCGTGCACCGCGTTTTTAAATCAGCTTAAACTCAATAAGTGGGGGCACTCTAGCACTGCGGTTAGCGCGCAAGTGGCTCGGAAAGTATTCTCTGTCACTCAATAAACACACCCTGTTCAACTGTCTACTTGCAGATGATCATGTCTCATCTGGTGCCAAGCACCTTGGAAAATTTTTGCCAAAATCTTGCTTCAAAGGGCGAATCTCAATCCGACGCAATAGCCACTGGCAAGTCATATTGGTGGAACACTTTGACAAAGAGCAAATAGGCTATATTCCCACCGAAATTGGTGTGGTGTCGCTGACAGCAGCGAGATGATCCATTATGCTCAGATGGCTTATAAAGACTTCATGCAAATATTACCGGATGCGTAGCTGGTAAACCAGAAATATCATTTATGCAGTTGGGCAACCATCCCTTTGCTGAAATCGGCAGGCAGACCAAAAGCGCCAAAGCATACGGCAATAATTTTTACCCATTGACATGTTTAAACATGTGGACACAAATGCGGATCCATTCGTACATGTGTGCCGCCACTGCAGGTGCTTACTGAGCAGTGCAGCTTTGTCTCCGCAGATTCAGCCTCGTATGTGGTGCATCCTGTGTCAACTAATCTGTCCATGTTATGTGCTAACTGGGTCAGTACTGTAGCATAGCATGCCTTCGTAGATTACTCCTGGTTTAGACGTTTGATCGCGCCATTTGATGTAGCGGCATCTAATAAATTGGACTTATTGCTTCCCAAAGTTTTCATCAACGCCAGACCCGTATGTTATACACTTTCACCGCATCAATCGGCGACGTCGCCATTGCGACATGCAGCAGTTCATAACTGGTATAACATAAAAACGCATACGCTACTAGATTAAGCCAAACCGGGATATCTCTCCTTGAGTCATACTTGACAAAGCAGATTAAGTCTATTCACTTTATATGAGTGAAGCGGTGGCACACCGCTGTGCGCAACACGCATGCTTTGTATAGGTCACAAATGCCATAGAGCCAAGCCGGTGTACCATAAGCTGAATAAATGCATACTTATTGCAGAGAGTTCCTCTCCTGGAGGTGAGTATTTCTTATGCCGCATTACGCCAGCAAAATCCAACGCAATCACACGTTATGTCCAGTGGTTCTGCTTAAAGTAAAGCACAGTCTATGGCAGTCCGACCCGAAATGGCCGATCCGATTTCAATAAGGTAAAAATCGGGGTGAGAATAGCTTTCATATCCTTACAAGTCGACAGTTTTGCTAGGCTTTCGAGCCATTTGACATATTCTCAAGGCGACTGGTGAAGGGTTGTGGCAAAACGGTTGCACTCATGATATTTCACGGTCTGACAAGGCCCAGAATGCGGATGTCGTCAGCAAAGCCCCTATACAACTGCAGCATCTGCATAGCTTAGATAGAAATATTTATTTCAAGATTCAATTCCGTTGACTGCAACCATCATAAGATACACCATATTTTTTTTCTTAACAGTCGGCACAGGGTGGCCTAGTGGGGCCGGACGATTTCGTGCGACGCGCTTGTCGGACGATCCTGCGTATGAGCTCAACTATTTGTACATGTCAACCAAGGGCATAGAAGGCTTGCAGGGTAAAATGATTGATACTATCGCCTATTGAAATCTGTGGGTACGAGTGGGCTGCTCGGTAATCAAGAGATGGCTCTCTTCCTGCTGAGGTGCATCGCCCTGGTGTGCTCGTAAAGTTGCCTCCTTCCGTTCTTCGCGGTACCAAAGTTGCGTTTTGCATTCAACGCAACATTCACGGCATCTTGTTATCGGTAGGGTGGACGAGGAAAGCCTTCATATGATCCACACTTTCACATGAATACAGGTACTTATATAAAGTATAGACCACCATCGCGGAGATAAGAGTTCGCAACTTTAAGACCCATCCAATATTTTCCGTCTTTCTCAACGGGTAGACAAAAATTTGGAACGTACTTGATGCGCCTGCTTGGCAGTGTGAACACCCACGGCATATGTCTCTTCAATTATTTTTATGTTGGAAATGCCTCCTCCACAAATATACTGCACGTTAGTCCACTTTTTCGCGCGCGGCCACCCGGAGCATGGTCAATTTCATGACTTTCTTCATTTAAACAGATACATGTTTTATTCGTCCATACCCCCATAAGGCTTCTCGCTAAACAACAATAACCTTAGGATCCTCTTGTGATCCAGCAGCTCCTGGTTGAGGTGTTTCTGGAGGTGTCTCACAAGCTCAAAGTTGGTAACACTACATCACCGCTTCGTCTTTCTCATCGGGACCAATCAAAGGCATACCGATTAAGCGTGACTTGTCGTTCCAAGAACACATGGCCTGACAATTTGTGTTTCGTCCCCACAGAAAGTCTAGTTTCTTATACCTTCTCTGTCGGATTGACTACAACTGCTACCAACTGAACGAGGTTGCCGTACATAGGAAATTCTGACTCGATGAGCCACGTTAGCGAAGCACAGAGAATGGGCTTGTCTACCTCATCCAGGAATGGAACCAAGCGTCTCTAAGTAGTAGCTAGATATCTAGTATGCTCTTTATCTCAAGAGCAACGTACATCAAGGATGAAGTCTAAAATAAATATATTATTTAATATATCCTTCTTAAATGTTCAGAACAAAAAAATGCATTGCACGGCGCGATACTAACTACCCATGTGACCCATGACCTCTCCTTCACGACTTCGTTCTGCCTCATCAGTCCACTACTTTGGTATGTTTGAGTAGTGTTATGTGTATGTATACTGTAGTACAATACATACCTCGTACGAGAAGCTGTGATGGACGAGTCAATCAGTGAGGGCAACCGAAGAGCAATGAATTCAGGAAGTATCCTCTGACATTGACAAAAATTTGTCAATAACAGAGGAAGCACGACATGCTGATAAGTGACTCGTCACGGTGGTTGACACCGGATTGAGGAGTTGCCATGATATCAGTCTGTTTTCCGAAGGCAATATCGTTTAACTAGACATGCTAATTGCCCTGACACAGGGATATTTGCGACATCTAGTAGCCTTCACCGCGCGAAGCACGAAGGGTTTCATGTGCAGCGAGGCTGCCGTAGTTCTTTGCTTAGAGGAAACTAAGCTAAGATCACGCTCTTTACAAGAACCAGTACGAGTGTAGCGTATCGCAAATGGCTACCTCCAAGAGTACTTAAAACCTGGACCAATGTAGCATGGTCTTCGGACAGATCCCGTAAAGCTCAAGTCCAATGTTGATGATCCTGTGCCGGTATGTGGTATTTTTTATGTGACAAATGCTCTAGCTTCGGCTCAAAATCAGTAGCTTTACTAGAGATGTGGTCAACAAGCTAGCGTCTATACCCCTTGTGAGGAGAGTTGTAGGTAGCAGAAAGTACTGCAGTATCAGAAAGGATAATTTGATTGATTGCAATAGATACATATGCACATGTTCAGATTGTTGTCACTGAAGTAAGCAAGAAATGCTTATGAAAAATACCACACACATGAGCGTAGCTAAGTCTAAGGAGGCGTTCGTCGCGAAGGCCGGCGGTTCTTACGGGTATAAGGGACGAACAAAGTGGCAAATTGATGAGATGCGCATGAACGAGTTCCCACAACTGAGCGGTAGAGTGTACTTGGACCACGCAGGTGCGACCATTTACTCTAAGACGCAGCTGAATGCAGTGTTTCAAGAACTTCAAGGTACATTATTTGCTAATCCGCACAGCGCTTTAGGTGGTGACGAGGTTGAGTCAACAACTGCCAGGATTGACCGAGTGCGAAGCCAGGTGCTAAATTTTTTCTCGGCAAGCGAGCACGAGTACACGCTAATCTTTACATCGGGGGCGACTGCGGCGCTAAAACTCGTCGGAGAAAGCTTTCCATGGACCTCAAAGAGCACATTTGCTCATTCGATGGACTCGCATACTAGTGTCCTTGGAATCAGAGGCTATGCAGCGGCACATGGGTCATCTGTGAAGTGCGTTGGACTAAACGAGCTTGAGGATTTGGAGAAAGTTAAAACCGCAAACAAGCAAATATTATCTAGCACAGCAAGCAATTCACCAGCTAAGCATTCAACGACCTGTTCCACAAGCTTGTTTGCCTATCCTGCAGAGTGCAATTTTAGCGGCGTGCGGCATTCACTAGAGCTCGTACATCCGATACGGGCTGGTCGTTGGAAAAATGGTTCACACAAAACCAAGCCTACCACGAGATGGCTTGTGCTAGTTGATGCAGCCAAGTACGCTGGCACCCATCAGCTTGATCTTTCGAGGAATAACCCGGATTTTGTGGTTCTTTCCTTTTACAAAATGTTTGGCTATCCAACTGGACTGGGTGCCTTGATCGCTCGAAAAGAAGCGCTATCGTTGCTGACGAGAGTGTACCAGGGCGGTGGCACGATTCAAAACATCTTGGCTGGTCAAAATTATGCTTTACCACTTGGTCAAGACCACAAGGCTGGTGCAAGCTCTCGTTTCGCTGACGGCACACCGTCATTCCTATCAATTCTTGCTTTGCGTCACGGATTTAGCCAAATCAGTAAGCTTGGTATGACAAACATTTCAGCTCATACCGAGGTACTAAGGATGTGGCTTGTTGACAAGCTCACTGATATGAAGCACTGGAATGGACGTTTAGTGTGTGAGATTTATGGCAGCTACAGCACTGATAGACAACCTGCCAGACAGGGGCCGATCGTTGCATGCAATTTTCGTCGGTCAGATGGCAGCTACATCGGATATTATGAGGTTCAAAAACTCGCGGATATCCATGGCATTCACTTGCGTACAGGTTGCTTTTGTAACCCTGGTGCATGCCAACACTACCTTAACTTAAAGGACTCTGATTTGCTCGCGAGCTTTGCCGCCGGCCACGTCTGTGGAGATAATATTGACGTGGTGAATAATTTACCTACTGGTGCCGTTCGCTTGTCTTTGGGATATATGACAACGTTTGAAGACGTCCATTCTTTTGTGGAGTTTGTGCTCACCTATTTTGTATGTAAGACAGCAACAGCAGACGTGACCCCAATTTTGAAGCCTCCCTTATCACCAATTGCATCTGAATCTCCTCATCTCTGCAAGCTCACGTTATATCCAATTAAGTCGTGCGCAGGCATGACTGTCGAAACTTGGCCAGTCGGGTCGAGAGGGTTGCTTTTCGACCGAGAATTCGCAATTGTAGAGGCATCTACAGGTAATGCTTTAACGCTTAAAGTGTTGCCAGACCTTTGCTTCTTGCATCCTATCATCGATCTCGAGCGCAAAACACTTACAATTACGTATTGCAAATCCAACAACGACGAGTCGTTACACTCCCCAGCTTCACAATTATCAAGCAAGGTTTCTCTAAATACATCCTTTACGATATCGCTACGCGTCGACACTTCTACGGCTAAGCAGCAAAGCAGCGATAATCCTCGTAGTATGCGTATTTGTTCTGGAACCTGCAAAGGGTGCGACGTTGACTCTGAAGTCTCTCGATGGCTCAGCTCATGGCTAGGACGACAATGCGCGCTAGTGCGAGTGTCTACCAGCTACCTCCGTGTGTCTCATACAAGTCTACAAAAGACACTTCCCACGCTACCTCAACAAAATTCAAAGACTTGGGACCCTGAAGTACCCAACATTGCGACTCGTGAAGCTAGGACCATCGGGTTTGCCAACCAGGCACAATATTTGCTCATTTCTCGCCAGAGTATTGCGCATTTCGACACAAAACTCAGCGCTATCGATCGCGCTCTTCATATTAATGAAGACGCATTTCGTGCCAATTTAATTGTGGACGGGTGCTTAGAGCCATTTGAGGAAGATACTTGGAAGCGCGTACGTATCGGCAGAACTACATTTGACGTCTCGGGCCCATGTAGCCGCTGCAGCATCATCAATCTTGATCCGCACTCGGGTGTCTTTCATCGCCAGCCACTACAAGTGCTCTCTACCTATCGACGACAACGCAGTAGTATTTACTTCGGACAATTTCTCATAGCTGATGCTAGCAGAGAGGAGACACGATGGCTGAGTGTTGGTGACAAAGTTGAAGTCGTCAACATGGCCTTGCAATAATTTATTCCCCTTCGAAAACAGCCATGTTATCTCACAGGTTCAGTAGTATCTTTCATAAGGTTTTATCGTGTGATTAACCAAGAGGTTTTTCGATGGCGTTTGTACTCCCCCCATCTATCGTGTGAGCCACTCGCGTATTCCCAAAGTTGCAAGAAAGAAAGGATTTCATCTGGAACATGCCGAATCCACAAGTGTTTTTTGACATGACCATTGGCGGCGCTCCTGCTGGCCGCATAACTTTTGAGCTGTTTGCTGACAAAGTGCCCAAGACTGCCGAGAACTTCCGTGCATTGTGCACAGGTGAAAAGGGTATCGGCCGCTTGGGCAAGCCGCTGCACTACAAGGGCAGCGAATTCCACCGCGTTATTCCCAACTTTATGTGCCAGGGTGGTGACTTTACAAATGGACATGGTACGGGTGGTGAATCCATCTATGGCGAAAAATTCGCCGACGAGAACTTTCTGCTGAAACATAAGGGAGAAGGCATCCTGTCTATGGCGAATGCAGGACCCAACACTAACAACTCGCAGTTCTTTATCTGCACGGTCGAGACCTCGTGGCTAGATGGAAAGCATGTTGTCTTTGGTCGTGTTGTGGATGGCATGGACGTGGTAAAAAAAGTTGAGGCCGTAGGCTCGCAGTCGGGTAAGACCAAAAAGCCCGTGGTTATTGCCGACTGTGGCCAGTTGTAGGTGCAGAAACATTCCACAAGCTGTCTAGTCCGTCTAGTTTGATGCGGCAGCATGTTCCGCTCGATGGATACATTTCATGAGTACAATCTTGACTAACACATTGATGCACCGTGAACCCCCATTTTCACACCGACAATTAAATGGATGCTTGTTTTACACATTTCTTTCTCCTGATTATATCTTCTATCTTTCATCTTTTTAGAAATGCATCAATGCAATGCAACAACGCTGACAAGATTTATCAAAGCATAGTACTATTGTCAAAAGAAACAGGAATGAGACGAATTGAATATTACATGTACTCGTTATGCGGTTCAATTTTAAGATGGGCTTCCCCGCCACATATAACTGAGACTTCAGACACATGGGTTTTGCGCTTCTTGCGTTGATGTGTCGAGAAGTTTGTTTGAGCATCAATTACTTGGTGCTCGTTTTCTACTAACACATCGTCCGTGAGATCAAAGACTTTGCCTTCTGCTTCGGCCTGCTCAATTCGACGCGTGATGGCTTCTTCAATTGACATGGACCCCTCAATCTGTATCTCCTCGTCTTCTATTTGAGCTCTACCTTCGGCTGGTGTGAACATTCGCACGACACGCCGAAGTGGTGCAGAATAATCAACACACACGTAACTGTCTTCCCTCTTGCCGTCAAAGAACGAGTCGTCCGCTGCGTTGGCCTTTGCTGTTGCTTTGTGAATATCATCATAAAGTGTAGCCTCCATTGTGTCTTCAGCGATAAATCGAACAACGGTCACGCTGGAATTAATCTGTCCCATGCGCAACACTCGTCCAATCGCTTGCTCCTCTAGCGTACTGGCTTGCGTAGGACTAAATCCAACTGGGTCCAAGAAAATAACGTGGGACGCCACTTGTAAGTTGATACCGGACGCACTTGTAAGCGAGTTCAAAATGAGAACTTGAATATCTCCACCAAGGAAAGATGCGACATGGGCAGACTTCGTCTCACTAGATTGGTGCTGGAGAAACACGGCACATGAGATACTTGCTAGACGAAGTGCTTTGTCTATAACTCGCAGTGCTCGATCCCACATGGTAAAAACCACGACCTTGATTGTCGACATGCGGCTTAAGTATTGCACCAATGCAGCAATCTTGCTACCGTGAACAGGCGCCGTCTCAATAAATTTATCCTTGTGACGCTCAACTGAGTTTACAAGTGCTATACATTCAGTAAGCTGCTTGAGCTGCTCCTCAACAATTGCACAAGCACTTAAACACCGTTCGATGAGCGTAAATTCCATAACGTTGGCAAGCTTTTTGATTTTCTCCATTGTCTCAAAATATTTCAACAGATAATCTTTAATTTCACCATGATAGTAGAATAGCAGCTCAGTTGGCTCAGGTGTATCATCGCCGAATGGATAATGTTTGTAAAGCATGCGAAAACCTGCATCAGTTTCTCCATTATCATCAAAAAATTTGCTCAAACCAGAGGCCTCCATGTCTTCAAAGCAGTCCCGCACACTAGCGTACGTATTTGAGTAAATAACCCGGCAGATTTCCACAGTGTTGCGCGTGGCATTTTCCATGATATTGACTTCCTTTTTACGTTTAGTAGCCACAGCTAGCTGTCGATTTACGTGATAAATCTCATCACGAAATACCTCACTAGGGCTCTTGATTTTTACCAGCGCCGGTGTCGGCAGTTTTTCGCTCGAATTATTCTGCTTACTACTTTGTTCACGCTCAAAAAGTCTATCTGAAATACCAGCGTGCACACAACTTTGCCGCGCAGACTTGTACTGTGGTGACCATAACATGTTGGACAAAGATTCTACGGCACTTTGCGGTTCGGAAACAACAACTTTGGCAGCGCCCTTCTTACTATGGTCGTCACCATCTTCCACGTCAAATAAATTGTACTCAGACTGCTCAAGTGCCCACACACGCTCGACCTGATACAATATAAGCTCTACAGGGTGCAACTTAATTGGAATGTACGTTTCGTTGACCCTAATTTTATCAGTGATTACTCGCTGCTTCACCTGTGCACAGTTGCGCAGATACAATTTACGCTTAATTTCGTCAAATGCAGGATCATACGGCTGTAGTCGCAGCCTTTTAAATCCTAGCAGTTGATTGTTCGCGTTTAATGATTCAGCTTTTCCTGGAAACGGCGTTGCAGTTATAAGCCATACGTTCAGACATCGGTGCGTGAGCTGAATAAAGCAATCTAGTGCCTTTTTTTCTAGGAAGACTATATCCTGAACTTCTTCAAAGATTACGCGTCTCCACGGTTTATACGGTCGATGTAACTGTGTAACCCACAACGGTCCACAATAGGCCTTGTGCACAAACTTGGCAGCTTCTTCGTACCCTAGTAAAGCAGAAGAATCGAATCGCAATAAATTTCTCTTTCCTCGCAGCCCTGTTGAATAGAGCTTTCCGTGTTTGTAATAATAGTTCTTTGACTTGACAGCTTCTTCGACCCCTACGAGCACCAGCATGCGATTAGACATATTCACTCTGGCCGCTGGATTTTCTACTATTTCCATGTACTGCTTCAATCCCAATACGACCTCAACCTCTCCACTTTTAAAAAACTTGCTCACTTCATGCTTCCACTGGGCCAACAAATGCGACGGCGCAACAAGCAAATTGGCCCCCACCGCATAGTCCCTTGGCTCGTCTGCGATAAGCGCTAGCATTGTAGCCGTTTTACCCATTCCAATTGCATCTGCTAGCACACCGCCTTTGGAAAAGTAATCAAGCATACCAAAATTAAATCTGGCGACACTCTCGTCGCGCGCCTCAATCTGCAGCATGCGGTGAAGCGAGCGGCGCTGGTGCTCGTACAGCGGCATATCTGTGCGGAAAGCTGTTGGTGTGGATCTCTCTGGTGCTGTCAGAGGAAGAAATGGTACCTTAAAGTGCACATCCTCAGCCACGCGCGCGGCGGCGTCTGTACCCACAAATGCGTCAATTGACACTTGCGTGATATTCTTACGCTTTGACCTTGACATATTTTAGCAGATTATGATGTTTCATACTCGCGCTATGTACGATACATGATCGGTAGCTCTAGATAAGTTGTGGCACCCTGTCTGTACAAAACTAAACGAGCACGTGGCAAAGTCTGGACGGCAACCAAAATTAAAGAAAGACGGTCAACTTATGGAGCGAAAGGTGCCGCCGAGGCCGTTTATCAACGCTGCACAACTTCAGTCGTTCCCACATCGAACCGGACACCCACCCACTTTTGAAGCAGCTCCAGCGAGCGCTCTCAATGAGCAGAACGCACCCCCTCCTCCGCCGCAGCAGCCACATGCACCGCAAACTTTTGGTTTTCCAATGGCAAGAGGACCCGCTAGCACAAACGCAAATGCAACTAGACGAGGATGGAAACCAGGACGTGTAGGAGGACGCCATGATGTATGCTTTTGTTGATTTACGGCAAATCGTTGTGATGAGAGGCTAAATTACGTTGTCTTTTACAGTCACCGCTGTACGAGAAGCATCGAAAGCGCCCAGCGTCGTCATCTATCGATAGCAATGTCAGCTGGAGTGGTAGCGAGATCGATTCAGTGAGCGGTTTTGGCGCCATACACAGTGAGCAGGAGCAGGTATCAAGACTGAGCTGGGCCTCATCAATCACGACTAGTGAAGCAGTGCCGTCTACTTCTCAGCAAGAAATGGCTTCCACAGCAACAGAGCAACATTCGCTACTGTTTGCTGCTGCGACTAGTGAGCACGGGACAAGTCAGACGTTTGGCAGCCTAGGCGGAATGGATGTACACCCACCAAAAACACCGCTGGGCAAACCAAAACATGAAATCGGCGGAGAAATGAGTGCCACGCAGCGTGTGCGTCTAGAGCTGACAGCGCATGCGGGCAGTCTTGCGGGGTCTCGTACAAATAGCTCGGAAAATATGTTTGCTGACACGATCGCATCCGCTTACGATGAAGAACAGAATGGCCCGCAGTCGTGTCCATCAGCTTTTAACAACACAAGACAGCCACAATTTTCGATCGACAAACTTCGACAACTGCGAAGTAATGAGCTGGTCGCTTCAAAACTTTTGCCTACTCGAACCAGTGTGAACAGCCTCATGGGATACGTGCGGGAATTGCAAATATCAGAGGCTACATTGCGGAAGCAACTAGTTAAAACAAAACAGGACACGGAGGAAGAACTGATGCAGTCATTATCGAAGGTGAACAAGCTCGAACGAACGATGATGGAGGTAGAGAGGGATCGGATGTTGGTACGGCAGAAGTTGGAGGAACAAGAAAAACTAATTCGTGATCTGTCGACCAAGTTGAAGCTAGCGGAGACAGCTAAAGCAAATGGCAGCACAAATAGTGGCTTTGATGAGATGCCTTCTATAGCTGAAGAAACAAGCTTAGGTGAAAACACCGAGGAAATGATAATTTCGGCTGAAAATAAGCGATCAGCATCGACATCTTCGCCTCTTTCGACGCCAGCTGCCTCTGTGCAATCTGCGATACCTACCGTGCTGCACGAACAGATTTCAATGACTTCTTCGGCTCACGCTCATCAGATTCAGAGTCACAATCGTACTTCCCAATTTGGACTTGCGTCACCTCGGTCGCCGAATCGACCGCTTTGGGATCCATGGGCGTCTGGGGGTGCGACACCAATGAAAAATTTGCCACCAGTGTTTACTATTGGGTCAACTGGTGGGGATCAAGTGGCTGCTTCGTCCACTGCTGTAAAATATGCTACTTGCGAAGCAGTGACAGCTTCTGAAGACTATGAGCTGAAATCAGTTCTTATGTCTCCACGCGGAGTTAAGAGTCGTACTGAAATCTCAGAAGTAGACCGCCTTGCTCAACAGACGCAGCACGATAAAGTAAAAATGGAAACGGAGGATTCCGCTTTAATATTAGATGCTGGTGTAGCACCATCAACGCCCCCTGAACAGCAGAGTTCCTCGCTATCGTTGACGCAACATGAAGGGTACGGCGCGCTAGACCAAAATGAGGGTTCAATAATGAATACGCCTTTACCAGATGTTTCGATGCATTGTGCCAAACCGATGGCTTCTGCTGATCAAAAAATTGATGATCACCAAGCACAAATAAAGTCTTCTGGAAGCACGGCGATGTCAGACGGTGGGAAAATTATTCAAGAACTTCAAGAAGGGCCATCACTGGTAAGTGATCGGGGCGAAATCAACATAAGTGAGGTTCCCGCTCGGTCTGTGAAATCGCAGGTTACTTCAGTAGATGAGGCTTCAAAGAATTATTCTTTTGAAAGTGATAGTGCTCGAGATACACCTGAGCACACTTCATTGTCTGAGGTAGCAAGCGTTAGCGCACAACCTGACGATAGTCCTGTGCTATCAGCTTCTTCGCCAAAACGGGAAGACGGCAAGGTCGCCTCGCTTGCCGAGCCAGTGTCGTTAGAGACACTCTTGGTTGATTTCTTCAACGAAGTAGATCAAAAACGTCTTAAGATGGCAACAGTTTATGGAAAGAGGTATGCTGGTCGTGAAAAATGGCTGTTCGCTGAGTTGACAAAGCGATACGGCGCAGCAAAAGTTGTCGCATTAAAAGATAAATTTGAAAGCATGGCTAGAGCTTCAATCTCTAGTGACGACAGAAGCAACAGTACAATCGACAATCGTACAGGTAAACCATCGAAAGTGTCGGACAATCCAAAATCAAGTCGCCAAGGCCACCCACGGCATCCACAGTTCCTCCAATTGCTTACTCCTACCGTTGATGTAGACGCTAGCGCTGCTCCTTCCTCCCAGAATCACAATGAACTTGAAACTCATACACAACACGATGTAAAACAAGCTGCAGCTTTAGTGAGTTCAAGCGAAGCGCTTTCGAACCGTGGAGCCATCGCGTCACAACGTCGCTCTATGGGTGTTGGTTCGTCTCTTTCTCTCTCGTCTTCACAAAAACCTCTCGAAAATGAGGGCACGTCTGAAGCGGCAACAGACAGCTCACATATAAGTGAGCCTACTCCGGCTAAATTTGATAATGCAATCCCGGCAACCGCTCATCAGGCTGCAATGGACGAAAAAAATATCTCCTCTTCAGGACTCCGTCAGCGTTATCATGCGTCTGACATGAGTATTCAAGATCAGAAAAAAGTTCTTCCTCCTATCACCTTGGAGATCTTGTTAGAGGAGTTGTACAACCATCACCAGCCTGACAAGTTGAAAAACGTATCTATTGTCGCAAAGCAGTATGCTGGGAAGGAACGGGAACTTGTTGGTTTATTGAAGAAAAAGTATGGGGCACTTAGCGTGAAGCGATTAGAAGAAAATGTGGAACTGCTGGAGCAGGCTCATCGTGCTTGCGTCGATGGACGTAACTCACACAAGAAAAATAAGCGAGGCTGGTTTATTCGTACAATCTCGCTCGTGTTTTGGCTCTCGGTGCTGCTTTATTTCTGTTTTGGTGCTGTTTTCGTCAGTTTTGTTATCATAGATGCGTGGGAGTGTCGTGCTTTTGGCAACGACGAACAGGATTTAGAACCTGCTGAAGAGTGCTTTGATCTTGAAAACGAATTGAAGGACTTTACTTATGAGCGTATCGCTGCCTATTTCAGCCAGTCCTACTCAGATGACTGCTTTTGCGCTGTGTGGAATTCTCGTCAGAGTGCCTTGTTTACAAACTTCTCGGGCGATAATATCATTGATTTAGCGAAGCTGGTGCCATTTTCTCCGGACTCATTTGGGACGCCATGGATCGCTAGTGTAAAAGAGTACATTCCGTCACAAGAATTTTATGAAACCTACGCTAAACCTGTCGTGGATCTATCGCTAAGTGTTGGTTCGTTTGTTTGGGTTTCTGTTATTGATCTTTCAAAGTATAAACTCGAATCTGAGAAAAAAACCCAGCTTGGAGAAGATGTGGAAAACGACTCTACTGGTTTGGTAGCGGTGGAAAGCGGTGCGTATGATAATGTCGAAGGTAACAACGAAATAGATGCTCGAGACCAGATGCTTTATGATGTATCATCTGTTAATAATGTCGACAACGAGAACGAAGGTGATGCGAAAGGCCAGCTGCCTGACGGATATGAGAAATTGGCTGCCAAGTACATTCAGAATTTAAGTGAAGTGAAGTCCGGACACCAAGTGCCTCAAAATGTAGAGGAAGAAGCTACGATTAACGTGGAAAATGATAGTGATGATGACTCCGGAGATCAATTATTTGTTGGAAGTGAGTTCGCAGCCTCGGAGAATGAAATTGAGGTCAAGACTGGACGTCGGCTGCCTGAGAAGGCTGAGGTGGCAGCTACGGGAAATGTGGAGAATGGGAAAGGTGTTGAGGTTAGAGAACGGTTGCCTGAGAAAGGCGATGTGGGAAAAGAGCGTGAGATAGATCAGCCAATTGGCGAGATCGAATCAGCGGATATGTTTGTCAGGTTGGAGGGAGATATAGTCGATGAAAGTGCCAAGTTGTACGACGACCATCTGGCTGAAGAGAACCTAACAATAATTGACAGCGCAAGGTTTTTGAATAAATCAGATTCCGATGAAAACTACGAAGCAGTCACAGCATTCCATGTTTCGGAGCTGAACAAGTTCGTACCACTTGAAGATTCTGAGCTAGCTTTGCGCAATGGGGAGGGTTTGGTTGATATAGTGAGTGACGCAACCGAAATTTTGCAAGAGAATAGTGCTAATCCCAGTTTGGTAAAAGATGATGACGATGATCAATTTTACTCTACTTCCGGTGATGAAAAGACTTTTGTCATATCCGAGGCTGTGGAGCGAGTGCTTGAAACTGCGTCGATAGAAGTCAAAAGTTCTCAAGAAATGGGTGTCGAGGGAGATAAATTTGTTGAAATAGAGGTCCGGCAGGAGGATTTAAATCTGTTGTATCCCGTGACGGAAACGCACGTAACGGGTGGCAACCTAACTGCAGCTGTCGTGGATGACTCTCATGCTGCTTTAATGGAGGAATCGCCTGAGCTGTCTGGGGATAATGTTGTTGCTAGTTCAGCAATTGTCAATCCGGGTGTGCCAGTGTTCGAATCCGTTTCTGCCGTTGATGAATGGTCTCGCACTGAAGGCACTGAAGCCGAACTGACTGAAGTAGACTCGGCCAGCGATGCTTTAAGTGAGGCGTCTTCAGTTGAAGCAGCGAATTTGAAGACTTCGGCTACTTTAATTGAAAAAAATGATGTTGAGACAGGGAGGAGCAAGCTTGAAGCCGTGCTTGACGTCAAAGAGAATAAAAGTCCAGCCGAAGCTGAAAATGACGTTATAGATTCTGAGGTTGATCATAAACCGGAGAAAGAAACGATCGGACTATATCCAAATTCTGCGTCTTTGTTGAGCTCATATAACGTCAACATGGCAGAATCGTTGCTTGAAGATAGCAGTGCTGGTGTTTCAAACGAGTCTTTTATGGTTATAAATAACGGCAAGAAGAGTGAAGAATATGCAGTCGCTTCTTATGAAAGTTTTCAAACATCATTAGCAATCCCTGATGCAAAGATGGATAAACTAAACTCGGAAGCGATGGATGAGACTGATATCGATTCAAATATCTCTTCTGAAGACGAGTCATCATTTGGTCTGACGGACAACCTCACCGGTGCTGTTGCTGTGGCTTCTGTGGAAGAATCCGACGACGATAAAAATATGGTCGGAGCGATAGTCGATGTTGTGTCAGGTGCAGTGACTGACTCGCATGGATTTGAACCTCGCTTTGGTAATGAGATCGATGCAGTCAGAGGTGTGGACGATAAAAAGGACAACAGCAATACTGCATTAGATGTTTCCAGTGCAAATGAAGTGGATCACTCCGTGCCCGTTAGCGAAAATTCTGTGGCGATCGAAGCCGCGAAAGTATTGGACGATTTCGAAGCTGATGCTGCTGAAGTTGCTCGGGATATGACTGATCAGATTGATATTGTCGAGATCACTGGTGTATCCGATACGGCTGATGCCGAGAATTCTGCAGCGAAAGATAGTAAAATTGCAAATGCATTTGAGATAGAGCATTTTGAAGAAGGCGACGATGTTTTCTCAGTCTCTGCCAACGATGTTACTTCTGAAATTGATGATGGAATTCAAGCGGCTGACATTGTACAAGAATCGGAAGCGATTCAATCTGGTGATGGAGTGATGGAGCAGATTATAAGCGCCGATGAAATTACTGGTTTAAACGACGAGAATGAATTGTTGACCGTAGTAGCTGACGAATCACCGACTTCTGGTCTTGTAGACGGAGATAACGGCGGTCTTGTTTCTGCTGTAAATGACGTCCTGGCAAGGCTTGTTGAGCCTTTTGAAGCAGCTAAAGCGACCTCAATTCATGCAGCAACAACAGAAGAGGAAAGAGTATAAAAATAAAAATCCTTAAATCTGTATACAATGATATGGTGTAGACGGTAACATCTCCTAAAGACAAAGAGCATGTCAACGGACAAGTATATATTCGCTTAAAAATACGAATCTGGCAAAGTTTGTTAGCTATAAAAAAATCAAGTCTGCTCAGGTAGTACCAAAATTTCAAGCAGCGACTTCTGTTACTGCCTCCCTACTAAGCATAATCCACCAGACACCGGCTCAATTGGCCAATCCACTTTAGTTGCTTCGAGCTTTAGTTTATATTCTTCATCTCGCTCGTTCACATCAGAAATAGCCTGCAACAGGGCTGCTATGCGCTTAGCATGAAGAAAACATCGACTTACCAGGGCGTCAACAAGGCGAACTACCTCTAGTAAGTAAGTTATTTGTTGGACTTTCTTTTTCAAAGTGCCATCGATTTTTAGAGCAATTTTATCAAACAAATACTATATTTGTGTTTTACAAGGCCTTTTTAAAACTCCGTTATGACAAGCATCTCCTGTACGGAGAGACCTTATCCCCCGTCATAACTTCGTCACATATGTATATTCCCAAGTTCACAAATGCGCAATCTAATTTTTAAACCTACTGTATAGTATAGATTTGATACAATTGAAATAAAAATCAAAAAGGGTGAAAGTACAAAAGTCTACAGTCGGTTGCAACCTTCCACCTCCAGAATTTGAAAAACATTGGGACTCAAATTTTACCGTCTTCTATGGATATTGCGCTACATTGAGCAGCCACTGAGCTTGAAGTCTATCGGGCTTGATTTTATGTAACGGGGTTACACGTACCTCGATTTCAAGGTCACACAAGATGGTGTGACCACACAGTGGTCTAAATAAGGTAGCAGGACTGCCAATAGTTATGCATTTTAATTAGGTGCTACTTTTTAATCAGGAAACCCTATAGATTCAGATATAGGCGGCTTTGCCGCATATAAATCCAAGAAAACACTTTACAGTTTGAACGGAAGGGTTATCTGCGTTCAATTAAAGTTGTGATTACTCTTGGAATAAGCAGATTGCGGTCCGCTACACTCGTACTGGTTCTAAATATAGAACAAAGGTTATCGACCTTAGCTTAGCTTCCTATAGGCGAAAAAGCTACGACAGCCTCGCTGCATCCTCTGTAACGGGGTTACACGTACCCTGGTAACAGGGATGTCTGTCACACCAGATGAGCATGATGTGACTGTACCCAAACAAGAATGCGGTATGTGGCTAGGTAGCCAGTAGTTATGCATGTATTTGGATTTTACTATATAAATTTAGGAAAATCTAAACATTTAAAATTAGGCACTTT